TTTGATAAATGTGTAAAATATTAATCTAAATCAAGTGAAATAATTGTTATCTTGGATAATTGGATTGTTTATATCTTGCATATTAAAATCTGTTGTTAACCCATTGTTTCTCTGATCAGTGAATATGCATGTTGAAGGGTCAGTATGGATTGTTAGAGTAAATTAGGCAGAGTCACGGCCACTGATTTAGTCTCATCTTCTCCTAGTCCTACCCGTTCTACGGTCCTACCAGTTTAGGCGGGAACCTGGAGTAAATAGGGTGTAGGTTCTAGTTTCTCTGAATATGCTAGGTTTGGACCGTGACTCCAGTATCTGGTTGAGTATATACTTCCCGGTCTCCTGGCTGACACAGTTCGGTCATGGTCTGGTCACAACAGTGGTTGGACCTACACAACCTTATCTGGCCCGGTATTATTATACATCAGCTTTTGTTAGGAGTCTAATCTGAAATGAGATGAAAAATTTAAACTTCTATTCTTTAAAATAAGTTAACTGAAAAAGCGTGAATACTGGGGGAAGTTTTACACTTTCGGATTAAGGTTTAACTAATTTGCATTTTTTAAGACATGTTTTTGCAAGTCCTAGCCACAGCGTTATACGATCAAGTCCCTGATCCTTCAATATCTATTTAAACCTCTATCAGGATTTTTAGCTTTAACTTGAAAAATTATAAATTGTCTTTTATACATAAGTCCCATGTTTATCGAGACACCCTGTACACTGCACATGAACCACAGACCCGAGATTATTACTGTAGAGTGCACGTACGTAATTCAAAGTAAATCTCCGTTTAAAGAGTTGCAGGGCCAGATTCCTGACAGTAGCCTTTCAAGAGAGTGACCGGCTATGTATGGTAGTTCAACTACTATACATTGCCGGTCACTCCCTTTAACCCAACTCATCTAACCAATAATAGCTGAAGTATTTTTTTGTGGGGGGGAGGGAGGATTTGAGTCTTTAGCACAAACTCAAATGTTCTAATTCCTATATCTGTGCAACCGGACAGTGCAACCTTTTTTACAATTCAAACTTAGATTATTTGATCTAACACAATGTATAGTTTAAAAAATCTAAGGTCTACGACATTGGGTTAAAAATCAGAGCTTGTGGCAAAGACTCATGAATTCCTTTAGATTTTCGCTTTACAAGTGTCTTGAAGATTTATGCAACAAAGAGTAGAGCCAAGAATGAATGAAATTGAAAGAACCCAACCTAGAAAACCTATGGCATCTTCCTCATTTTTACCCAGATAACAATGTAAAGGGTACCGTTGTGAATCAGGCATGCAAAGCTTAAATTAGAGTTACTTTTAATTACTATGTACACACAGTGAGAAGCAGAAAATATAATAGACGCAATATAATAGTCAAGTACTGCCAGGAACTACTTACTACTTAGTTGACAAATATGACTAGTGCAAGTGCAAGTGCAAGTGCAAGTGCAAGTGCAAGTGCAAGTGCAAGTGCAAGTGCAAGTGGATGAATTACAAAAACTGCTGTAGACTGTATTTATAAACATTACTGCAAATAACAGACAATTTTTGGCGCTTCGCGCACAGGTTTAATTAATTTACAGGATTCTACGTGCCTTCTACAAATATAAACTTTATGCTAGCGCAAGCTAGTGTGAAAAATGTTTTTAAAACGGTCTACCTGATTCAAGTACACTCTATATCTATTTACTCTAATATCCCTTACAGTCGATAACCCATAAATATAGTAAACTATTAAGGAATACTGGTGTTGCTATTGATACTGTAAACTATTAAGGAATACTGGTGTTGCTATTGATACTGTAAACTATTAAGGAATACTGGTGTTGCTATTGATACTGTAAACTATTAAGGAATACTGGTGTTGCTATTGATACTGTAAACTATTAAGGAATACTGGTGTTGCTATTGATACTGTAAACTATTAAGGAATACTGGTGTTGCTATTGATACTNTATTACTATTATTATTATTATTATTATTATTATTATTATTATTATTATTATTATTATTATTATTATTATAATTATCATCATGTCATCATTCAAAATACATAATAGATATAATTCTGCCTGAAACTTGAACCAATCAATCAAATTAAGGTGTTTATGCTGGTTCTGCCGTTCACCTCTAGTTTCCCAGTCCTAGTTACATGTCGTCTTATTCAAAACCTTTGTCTTGGAGCTTTCATGACAGCAGACGCTTCCCTTGTAGTTTATTTACTAGGTGAGTAAACATACCCTGTATACTTACTGGGTGAGTAAACATACCTTGTATATTTACTAGGTCAGTAAACATACCTTGTATACTTACTGGGTGAGTAAACATACCTTGTATATTTACTAGGTGAGTAAACTTACCTTGTATACTTAATGGGTGAGTAAACATGCTTTGTATGCTTACTGGGTGAGTAAACATGCCTTGTATATTTACTAGGTGAGTAAACATACCTTGTATACTTACTGGGTGAGTAAACATACCTTGTATACTTACTGGGTGAGTAAACATACCTTGTATACTTACTGGGTGAGTAAACATGCTTTGTATATTTACTAGGTGAGTAAACATACCTTGTATACTACTGGGTGAGTAAACATGCTTTGTATATTTACGTGAGTAAACATGCTTTGTATATTTACAAGGTGAGTAAACATGCCTTGTTTACTTACTGGGTGAGTAAACATACCTTGCATACTTACTGGGTGAGTAAACATACCTTGTATACTTACTGGGTGAGCAAACATACTTTTTATATTTACTAGGTGAGTAAACATACCTTGTATAATTACTGGGTGAGTAAACCAATTGTATACTTACTTGGTGAGTAAACATGCTTTGTATACTTACTGGGTGAGTAAACATACCGTGTATACTTACTGGGTGAGTAAACATGCCTTGTATACTTACTGGGTGAGTAAACATACCTCGAATACATACTGGGTGAGTAAATATACCTTGTGTACTTACTGGGTGAGTAAACATACCTTGTAGACTTACTGGATGAGTAAACCAAGTTTACTATACATACATATTATGTATGTATGTTTGCCTTTCATTTTGATGCATTGAGTAAAATATTTTAGTATCCTGGGACTTATGTAAGATAATAAAATAATTTTCAAGCTTTATTAATATACAAATATTGAAGAGCAATATTACTGTTGCGTCAGTGTGTCTACAGTTCCATCTTTTACGCATTAATGAAAATATGCATTGAAACTTGTACTTATTTTTTCTATGAAAATTAATTCTCCATTATGTATTTTATTATGTAGATTTTTCCTAGGAGTAAATAACCTTGAACATTAAAACATTGAAAAACTGTTTTTTAAACGTTAAAAAGTCTTTTTTTTTTAAATGATGTCAAATGACATAAAACATTATGGGATTCAACGTTACTTGGTTTAATAGGACTGCTTTGAGGAGGACAGTATGAATTGTTAACAATCTTCGAGTAGATTAATAATTTAGATTTATCTAGGTCCACAGAAATCAAGGCCGTTTACAATGATGTTCCATGCTGTCATAGGTAAAACTCCGCGGCAAAAACAAAGAATTTTATGATATCACTATAAATAATAAAAAAATAAGTTTGTTTTTGTTTTAGGAGCTGGATTTCTTGCAACCACCTTCATGGTTCGACCCTTCCTACCCTCAGCGGAGGAGCTAGACAAGGACTCCCTCTGCAGCAGGTTCAAATTCAAGAATAATGGGAGTGATTATGATATTTTGAAAAGGGGTATAGAAGTTTCGATTGATCATGGTTTTTTTCAAAATGGGTGGGAAGTATATTAAACTATTTCTGGGATATCATGAAGTTTATTCAACAACTTCTAGGATATCCTTCAGTATATCAGACTTTTTCTGGGATACCCTGAGGTTTACTAGACTATTTCTAGGATATCCTGAAGTATATTAAACCATTTCTAGGATATCCAGAAGTAAACTAAACTATTTCTAGGATATCTTGAAGTATATTTAACTAATTCTAGGATATCCTGAAGTTTGCTAAACTATTTCTAGGATATCCTGAAGTATATTAAACCATTTCTAGGATATCCAGAAGTAAACTAAACTATTTCTAGGGTATCTTGAAGTATATTTAACTAATTCTAGGATATCCTGAAGTTTGCTAAACTATTTCTAGGATATCCTGAAGTACACTAAGCTATTTTTAGGAAATCCGAAGTATATTTAACTATTTCTATGATTTCCTGATTCTAGGATATTCTGAAGTATATTTAACTATTTCTAGGATATCCTGAAGTATACTAAACTATTTCTTGGATATCCTGAAGTATAATAAAAGCAATTTCTAGGATATCCCGACGTATACTAAACTTTTTCTAGAATATCCTGAAGTATATTTAACTATTTCTAGGATATCCTGAAGCATACTAAACTATTTCTAGGATATCCTGAAGTATATCTAACTATTTCTAGGATATCCTGAAGTATACTGAACTATTTCTAAGATATCTTGAAGTATATTTAACTATTTCTAGGATATCTTGAAGTATATTTAACTATTTCTAGGATAATCTGAACTATACTAAGCTATATCTAGGATATCCAGAAGTATATTTAACTATTTCTAGGATATCCTGAAGCATACTAAACTTTTTCTAGTTATCCTGTATATTCAACTATTTCTAGGATATCCTGAAGTATACTAAACTATTTCTAGGATAACCGCTGTTGATGATCCCAATGTAGATATGTCCAATTGCACAACCATGACAATAATCCTGGATCCGGAAACTGATCAAGCAATTCCAACCATAGCCTGGCCCTTCCTCATTTCAGGTACTACAGGACTGTTAAAAATAGATTTAAAAAGCTGTTAACATCTTTATTTTTCAGGAGTTTGGTGTATTGTTTTCAGTCTTGGCTTCTTTGTCCTCGCCTTCCTTCCGTATACAATGCCGAGGTTTTATGAGAAGGAGAAGGAGGATAATCCGAAAAAGGAGAGAAAGGATAAACCAATAAGATATCTTCCATTATTCTTTTTTCTAGTTTTCTTGTATTATTTTATCTCCTGTGGTGTAGAGAGAATAATCCAAAGTATGGTTTCAACCTTTGGACTTTGTGGTCCCCTAGACCTGTCTCCTACAGAGGCCGTGGCCTCAGATTCATTTTATAACGGAGGTTTCATGTGTGGACGGTTGATTTCTGCGGTTGTTGCTGGATTTCTCCGGCCTCGGAACATGATAATCTTGTCGCTGTGCGCGTGTGTGCTCGCGTCTGTGCTGTTAAGTGTACTCGGAGGAACCAGTATGTATGCTCTGTATGCTGGAGCTGCTATTCTAGGAAAAGTTTAAACTATATCCCTGGAGTTTAATTCTAAGAATTCTAACAGACTACACAGATAGAACATGTATAGATGATCTTAATGTTTATAACGACAATTTTTGTTTATAATAACATCTTGGCGTACAATCTCTCCCATTATCCCTACCATATGAAGCAGATAGAAAGACAACAGTTCTAAAACTATTCTAGTCATAACCAGAAAGACCCGGAGTTAATCGGACGAAGCTTTACATATATATCTCTGTTAATTTTAAACAGACAATAAAGACAGACCACATCAAATTGAAATTGGTTTCTCGTTTCATTATTCATTTTCGTAAAATTAGAATGTGAAGTCGTCTATTATGTATAAATTAATTCCTGGTCTTTCTATGACTGAATGAAAATCAGAAGTCTGTAAATCTAGATTGTATATTATGTGTGTAATCTGTGATAATTCTAAAAATTATCTTAACATTCAAAATAAGCACTGCACAATGTTTTGATAAGCATATTATTAACATTTAACGTAATTCTCGTATTTCATAGTTAAGCCTCTCATTACTTTCTGAATAGACTGCAGAGACGTTGGTTACGTTGTTCCGATACACAAGGTGTCCACATAAGAAAAGCCTCTCGATCGTAAAGATTTACGTGAGGTACAGGGTGTCCCACGAAATATGTCAACTGTTGAATAGTTTTGAATGTCTTCTTCCATATATTATATTGGATATTAAAGTCTTTTTGCATGTCATTTCGTTAAAAACATCTATTTCTCAAATATATTTTACTTTGAAATCAATTTTACAATAATATAATTGGCATACAATATGTTTCATCATTCTCTTTTATATCAAACAACTTAACTTATTATGGATGAAGACATTTCAAACTATTCATCAACTGTCATGTTTCGTGGGACACCCTGTACCAAAAGATTTATGTGAGGAACCAACATTGGGGTAATAATTAATTAATAATTAATTAATAATTAATTAATAATTAATTAATAATTAATTAATAATTAATTAATAATTAATTAACAATTAATTAATAATTAATTAATAATTAATTAAAATTAATTAACAGGGTTTCTAAAAGGGACTTAGTGAGTTTTTACAGCCGAGACAAGCAAGTAAATGGAGATACTAGTCCATTTCCAGATAGAATCGAACTATTACAAATACGCTTCCATTTGAAGATTACAATTTCCTTCAAAATGGTGGCGTTACAATTCACAGCATTTTGGGTCTCCTTAAACCACAAAAAAGACAAATAAAAAAATTAAATTTGATATTTTTTGACGGATATATTTCAAACTTGATCCTGTAGGTTTCTTTGTCTCCTGGCAGTTTGGTTCCTGTTTCTCCTGGGTTGCCATGAAGATAAATATCACGGGACGTCTCTCTTCCGTTTTCTTTGTAGGATGCGGTTTCGGGAGTTTATCCACTCCACCCCTCACTGGGTTCATTTTTACATCCAGGTTAAACATTTTTACAATGCTAACGTAGTTTTTAACATTAAAATGTTTTTTAAAGAGAAAAATTCGAGAACAAATTTATTGAAATTTTACTTTTTTGCTAGTTTGTATGGGAAAAAAGTATATTTTTTGTTGTTTTGTCCTATGATCGTGCAAGAATATTTCCTATCATGGACATAACTTAGCAAGTTTTTCCACTCTTTTAGACACTTCTAATCCAAAAATTCAATTATTTGACCCCCATAAACAAAAATCATCTGTTATGTCTTAGTTTTTTTTGTGTGGAAAGATTCCCTGAATTTTAGGTGACTTATACATTTAAAAACTGTTCAGCCTTGTACTAAAAAGTTCGGTGAGAAAATTACAAAATCTTTGGAAATATTTTATAATTTAAAGAGAAAAGAAGACGACAACAATTCCACTGTTTTCTATTTCTTTTTTATTGTACATTGTATTTGTTTTAGTTTTGGTCCGATGTCAATATTCTACGCAACCCTGGGGTTCTGTATCCTGCACTGTATTATCTTCCTCTTGATGTGGCTGATGGCGAGGTCAACCAACCCGGAGCTAAACCTTCCTTCTTCGTCCCGTCCTAAATCCTCAGAGTTGAAGAAGAAAAATCTAGAAACTATTCAAGAAACCCAGGAATCATCCTGCTCCGTCCTGGATTACAGATCCTTAAATTACTCCGTCCACAACCTTCCATCATCCTCCGAGGTTTCATCTACCTGTGATTACTCCGAGTCTGATTATCCGTCCTATGATTATCGTCCGCCAATACTTGCTCTAGAAGAGATAAAACCTCCGCCTCATATACATAATTAAATAATAAAATACATTCTTCTAGTAACTATATTTAATAACCTATATATTAAATGCACTGTCGACATAATTCTAGGTAAACCTCCATTTAAAGGGACAGGAAGCCTAGTTTTATAATCCTGTAAGTATGGAGGGCAACGCCTGATTTACAACTATACCCTGGTAACATTTGCGTGATCGTTGAGTACAGAGATATGTGTGATTCAACTTATCAAAACCTGCTTGAATTTTGCTGCCAATTCAGGTGTGCGATGTGTTGTGAGAAGAACAGTCTGAATGCTTACAACAATCCCGTCAAAGACGCTTTTCACACCAGTACCCTTTTAAACCTTTTTTTGCGTAAAATTGAGTCATTTGCTATTTTCTGTTGTGCGCAAATGCCCCGTAAAATTCCTAAACAGAGAGAGGGGGATTGAATTTTGTAGATCCAGAAAAATAATATCTACGGGATGCCTGCGTAGAGACTGGCAGCTGGTGGGGTCTTAAATTTAAGACATGTGGCCGCAGCGCTCGGCCCCCTAGCCTGTCCTAGCCGCAGCGCTCGGCCCAGAAAGTGTCTTAACCTAACCTAACCCTAAATAAATACTAATTTAATTATTTTTCTGGATCTACAAAATTCAATCCCCCTCTCTCTGTTTTGGAATTTTACGGGGCATTTGCACACAACGGAAAATGGCAAATCCCTAAATTGATGGGGACTGTATTCTATCTAAAAATCTGAATCTTTTACTGCGTTTTCTCAGAAAAGTTCTTGTGGATTTTTGCAGCCACTAGACAATTAGGTAAAATGACAGAATTTATCTCTTTTCAAAATACAGAAACGAAAATGCTTGTTACTCAGATGAAGGTTTAAACTGTATCGTTGTGAATTGGGCATTGGACTGACAGGACTGGAGATTAAATACTTGGAAATCCTGAAAGACTTGACTTATGAAATTTCACGTGGTAATTTTGAACTTATTGCTTTTTTGATAAAATGAGTATTTTCCACAAACTCAAATTTTCTAATCCCAGAACCTTTGCAACCTGATGGTGTAAACCTCTGGTATTTCAAAATAAGGCGTCTTGATCAGAATTCAAAGGTCTATGACATTGGGCTGCAAAGATAAACTGATAATTAAACCAAAGTTTGTGGTAAAAACTCAATTACTTTGATAAGGACAGAAGGCCGAATTTCACCTTGAGATCATCCTATTTAAAGAGCTTTAGGCTGTAATTAAAGTCGAATCCTGTATAATTACATAAAAAGATTAAAAGATTATCTTATTAACAGGAATATTTTCATACAGTGATACATATCATCATTGGACTTAACAACATTTAAAACAAAAAATTTGAAGTTCTATTTTTAAAATCTTCTTTTAAACCATGTTAAAACATTCCCGAAATAACCCTGAAAGGAATTGATTCTTTGGCACCACAAGCTCTAATTTTCTATAAATATATATAACAACATTTTGCTGTAATTGCAATTATTTAGGGGTTTATAAAATCTGAAGTTGTTACAAAAACTCAATTCCTTTATAAAGAGCCTAGTATTTTAAAAAATTTACATGAATAATTTGTGCAAATTACTAAAAATACAATTCTATTGTACTGTATGTATACAAAACAAACACTCATTTACACCTGATTCATCGAATTCTTACTTTATAGAAAGGAAAATTAAATTAAAGCTTTGCAATGACTGTTATTAAAATATAAATATTTTTAGGTGTGATTTCCCAGGTTCTTTAATTGTTTGATCTATCCGTAGGTTCCGTCTTCCTGAGCTGTAAGTTTAGTCCTTTCACCATTTGTGGTAAACTCCTGGTCGGGTAGGATACTTGGAACTCGGCTAGGGTCTGGTACAGAGCAGGATACAGGAGAGGAAGCCTGCACCAGAGATGTCAACGTCATTATTTTGTTGAATATTTACGTTACGTTTTTACTTAAGCAAACGTGACATACTAATTTGGAAACATAATATGCATGCTGTTATGTAAACTTTTATACTAATTATAAACTTAAACAAAAAAATCAGGTTAGAAGAACTTTCTTGGCGATATTTTTAATCGTGAATGCTTGATCTTGAAATCCAATGTGGGCACTTTAAAATCTAAGATAATGCTTGATCCCTCCGTTAAATTTATCCTTGCACGTTATAAACCACACGAAATATCGAAGAAGAATTAAATTAATCCGTAGGAAGATGGAGAAGAATGCTTGAACCCGGGATTCAGAAATACAACATTTCTGATTTCATAAATAACAAATTCTATTCGAAACAAATTTAAAATCTATATCGATTCACAACAGTACTCTTTTAACCTTTTTATGATCAATAATGTGGATCAGAGAGTAAAAGTGTTTTTATTCTCACAATTTCCTCCATTGTTTCTGAAGCAGGAATGCGCAGGTCACTTTATAGATCAACCACAATTTAAAATTAATTAGAATCATTTTTTTAAGAGAAGATTGTGAATATATCTGTTAGTTTTGATCAGACAAAACTTTTAAGAGAACCGTTATGACACCGACACCGTGCCCCTCTCTTTCAAAAAAGCAGGTCACTTGAAATTACGTCTGGAGTCCCTTTATGTATTATCATGAATTCAATGTGCTTAGAATGTAAATAAAGACCGAGATATGTTTCCAAAGTTGACATCACTATCCTGGAATGATCTACAGCTGGGAAGAGATGGTGGAGAAGATGGTCCCCGAAGGTGGTTAGAACGAGGGGAAGCCAGGGTTTCTCCAGATCCCTAACAGTATCCACCTGATGCAAACCCCAGTCTGAATCCAGTCTGGGAGTATCTCCTGCAGTGATAGTTTTGGTTATACTCTAGACAATTTCTCAAATGGTAACTTCCCAAATTTACAAGAGTTTTAGCCGTAAACAAAGAAAAATTTTTTAACAACTTACCTTTGTTTAAATGTTTGTGTTTCTGCTGTTTGAAGCTTGGTAGAAATCAAAATAAAATAGAAAGTCGTCTTCATTGAATTGATAGATACGACGACGACTTTAAAATTTCGTGGTCGTCTTTATGATTATTTTCCTGTAAACGTAATTTCATTCTATTCTGACTTCCTGTCTGATTCACAACGATATTCTTTATACCTTTGACTGAACTAAAATGATTAAACTGAAATGATTGAGATATCCTTGTTTTCTTATTTTAAAATGTATAATTTTCATTTTCGGAAGAAAATAATTAACGAACTTACGATAAAAAAACGACGATATCATCCTTAATGTTATTCAAACAACAGTCTAAAGGGTACCGTTGTGAATCCGGCAAGTACACTCTTTAATGGCAGGGGATTACTTAAAAATACGTTGATAATCCCTTTAAAGTACAGTGATAACCATTAAACTCTGGAAATTAGCAAGACGGCTTTTGGACCCCGGCTATGACTGTAAATAGGCAAATTAACATGCGGCAATTGTAAAGTGTAAACTGTAAACAGACACCTTTAACTTGATAAATTATTTGAATAGTTACTAGTATAACTATTTGCCTTGTAGCAACATTAAATCCACAAAATATTGCTTATAATGTCGTCTTCCTATTCTACAGTTTTCTGGTTCTCATTGTATGAGGAAGTGAAACCTGCGTGATAAAGCTCCGGATGATGATGAGTAGTGGTAACACTAGTAATAATCAACCAGTACCCAGCCAACCCTGATCAAATTAGATGTAAGTAATCAACCAGTACCCAGCCAACCCTGATCAGAATTAATGTAAATAATCAACCAGTACCCAGCCAACCCTGATCAGATTAAATGTAAATAATCAACCAGTACCCAGCCAACCCTGATCAGATTAAATGTCAACCAGTACCCAGCCAACCCTGATCAGAATTAATGTAAATAATCAACCAGTACCCAGCCAACCCTGATCAGATTAAATGTAAATAATCAACCAGTACCCAGCCAACCCTGATCAGATTAAATGTAAATAATCAACCAATACCCAGCCAACCCTGATCAGATTAAATGTAAATAAACAATCAGTACCCAGCCAACCCTGATCAGATTAAATGTAAATAATCAACCAGTACCCAGCCAACCCTGATCAGATTAAATATAAATAAACAAACATTTTGTCAACAACCTCCGTCAGTTCTAAAGAAAATTATAAAACAAACAATAAAACATGGAATATATCACATTCCTCCCAGTGTCTGTAATACACTTTTCTGTAAACAAAGAGGGTTCCTAATAGATATCTTCCTTGCAACAAACGAATTTACTCCCAACAAAAAAAATAGAAATTGACTTTTTCAAAATACAAAATTACGTCAACAAAAAATCATTAAATTTAATTTACCGTGAATGATAAACCAGAATTTGAATGCTGTGAAAAGATCCATTGATGATAAAAGCAGAGCAAATTCTAAACAAATAAAAGTACAATAATAATAACGGGATTATTGAAGAAAAATGTTTAATTTCGTCTTTTATACGCGGCATTTAAGAATTTCTTAAGCTCTTGTCTGAAACGCAAAAAGTAATAAAAATATTTTTAACAAGATAAAACTCAAACTGAATAGAGAATGCGCTTAACTCAGCTAAATTGATTTAAATCAGTTCTGTTTAAAAGTTTTCACCTATGTTTCATTTTTCTGTCCATTTTAATCTTAATCTTTAACTTAATCTCAACTTAACAGAATTAACATTTCTTCGTTACTCACTGGTAATCGTATCTATATATGAACAGTACTAATCTCATGAACCCCTGGACCGATTTCCCTTAAATTTTTATTGGGGAACTGAGTAGAACCAAGGACATGTTCTTAGCTTGGCATTACAATTATAATCTGAGTGACTTGAATTTTAAATTGAAAGTTTAGTTTCGAGGCAAAGCTGGGTTCCTAAGCTAGACTGTATACCTAGGACGGGTAGAATGTTCTCCGGGAGTAAAGTCTGTGCTCCAGAGAGAACCTGGATACATCTCTTGATAAACTCTACTGGGACTGCAAGGAAGAACATGAGATGAAGGTAGATCGGAGATAGGTTGCGGAGAATCCATCCCTTCTTCTCAGGCAGGAAGGACATAAAGGGTTCAACGGCTGTTACCTGGAAATAAATGTGAAGAAATGGCACAATGCCAAGTTTAGAACGTGAATCTAGTTTGATCCAAAAATTCAGCACTCTAATAACAAGATCTTATCTCTGGGACATATTATTCAAAAATATCATTGATCGCTGAACCAGTTTATCTACTGGGAAAATCATTGGGGAAGTTGCCACAAGCGGCTCAAACCTTAAAAATTATTCAAATTATACATCTAAATAATTTGTTTCAAATACAAATAGACATCTACAAATGTAAGCAATTCATAAAAAAGTATATTTTGACAAAAATGATATTGAAAATTATGATGATTTATATGAAAATAATGATAAAAATGATAATAATGATAATGATAATAATAATAATGATAATGATAATGATAATGATAATAATAATATGATAATGATAATGATAATGATAATGATAATGATAATAATAATAATGATAATGATAATGATAATGATAATGATAATAATAATAATGATAATGATAATGATAATAATGATAATGATAGTGATAATGATAATAATAAAAATAATAATAATGATAATGATAATGATAATGTTAACGATAATGATAATAACCTCTATATCTGAGAATGTATTGGTGTGTAGATGGTGGGAGAGCGCATGACTGATCCTCCAGTCTCTGTGAGATAGGAGAGACAGATCGAAAAAGTATCTTCTCCAGCCCTAGAAAATAAAAGTTTTATAAATGAAAAATTTTGAAAAGATGAAACCAACCTGTGTATCTCTGAGATGAATCTAACCTGTGAATCTCTGAGATGAAACCAACCTGTGAATCTCTGAGATGAAACCAACCTGTGAATCTCTGAGATAAAACCAACATGTGAATCTCTGAGATGAAACCAACCTGTGAATCTCTGAGATGAAACCAACCTGTACATCTCTAAGATGAAACCAACCTGTGAATATCTAAGAGAAACCGACCTGTGAATCTCCAAGATGAAACCAACCTGTGTATCTCTGAGATAAAACCAACCTGTACATCTCCAAGATGAAACCAACCTGTGAATCTCCAAGATGAAACAAACCTGGGAATCTCTAAGATGAAACCAGTTATGAGCACAGCTAGTTTGCATGCCCAGAAGTATCCCTGTGAGAAGGGAGAGAACCAAACTCTGCTTCCTTCAGTGCAGTCAGCAAATTACATTCAAGATATATTCATCAAACGTATCTTATTCATAATTTTGTGCTTTCTGATTCTGGATTAAATACTGATTTATCAATTTAATCTGATTCTGGATTAAATACTGATTTATCAACTTAGTCTGATTCTGGATTAAATACTGATTTATCAACTTAATCATGACTTTTCTCTCACAAGGTTGTGTGAAATGCTGGGTAAATGAATAATAAAAATGCATATGCCGGATTAATGTTTTTACTTGAATGAACAAACTTATTATTTGAAAAGCTTGATTTCATCATCAGATAGAATATAAATACGCTTTCAAATCATAGCACAGGTAAAAGTAAATCCAAAAAACAAGGAGAGATGCAAATACAGTATTGTGCCTTCAAAAAAATTTGCTTCACTTTCCTGCTAGTTAAGAAGAGAAGAAGAAGAAAACTCACTAAAAAATAACTTCTCAATTAATCATTTAAGGTCAAATTTTTTACAATTTTTAAGCTCTGCCAAATCTAATTCTTTAAGAATTAATTTAAACATTAATTGTAAATTACAATTACTGAATTAAATTCAGAAAGATTGAAACTTTTATTGGTACCAATATTTTAGATTTGAAGTAGCTACACAAAATTCAATTATTATCTTTAGCATCATTTTTAACATCATTATCATTGTCATCAATGTCATCATGCACGTCAACGTCAGTAACATCATTATTATCATCATTATCATTATATAATATAATAGTTAACTTCATTATCATTGTCATCATTGTTATCATCCACGTCAACGTCAGCATCATCATTATTAACATCATATAATAGTTAACATCATTATCATTGTCATCCTTGTTATCATCCTTGTCAACGTCAGTATCATCATTATCACCGTGCTACTAATTAAATATCTTAAAGGTTTAATATTTTCAAATTATTTATGAAATGAGGTACCTGTGAGAATATCTTGGATGAGTTTAGATCTCCAGTCTGGTCCTAAACAGTCAAAATCAAAGTTTACAGCTTTTACAGCTTTTTCACTTATTTAATTCTAGAAACTCTTGTTCAAATTCCGGTTCATTTGATGTATAGGGCCGACTTTTGAGCAACAAGAACAACGTGTGCAAAAAGAATACGGACTATAGTAATCAAGGAATAGCACACCGGATAAATCTTCACCAGTGCGTTTAGATAGTAGATACTATAACTTTACCCAACAATGCTCAGAGCTAAGGACTTTTGAATAAACTTTCAAATTTTAAAATTATTTAAACATATTTGGGAGTTTAATCTATCTCTCCTTGGCTAAACCTTTAAAGCTTTGACTAAAATTGCCAGGAAAACTAAGTAAAAAAAGTGTTTCACAATTGTAATTACAATTTTTGAAAGAAGCAACAAAATCGAGCAGACAAAGAACTAATAAACATGCTTAGCATAAATAAAGGTTAAAACTTTTGATTGAATTATTTAAGATCAGTTCACAGGATGAACAACAAGACCATCTCAAAAAGTTTTGAACATATTTAAAATACAAAGGTTTTTATCTCAGAATTTATCTCAGAATTCTTCTTCTTCTATAATCCCTGACCTGTTCCAGTAGCTGAGAGAATGGGTCGGGCTTTGTTTTGTAATGTTTTAAAGAATCCATCCTCATGAAAAGTATGTCTGAAATTTATTAAATTTGGAAACTTCGTATCTGCACAGTGCAAAACTGTGTAGATCTGAAGCCCATAATAAGACCCATTTCTAATGCAATTCCAAGTCTACATTATATTATATTACAAATTTCTCTCTATGCAAATTTTGTCCAACGTGAAATCTGAAAGGGTTATCTATTTTCATTAAAGGGCCTTGAGACCTAATGCCATGTCTGATTCACAACTTTGATTATTTAAAGGGACTGTAAAGGAAAAATGAAAGGGGGTATAGAATGAAACCTGATAATCTCAGGCGTTGAACGATACATATGAGACATTTATCTGATATATAAAACTGTGTCAAAGGAATTGAGTCTTTGGAACAAAATCAAATATTTAAACCTCAATATCTTTAGAACTCGATGTTGAAGATCTAATCCGTCCATCCAGTATGCTTATCTTAACTCTGATGACATGTCTTCATGATACTTGTCTTATCCCAGATCTAATCCGTCCATCCAGTATGCTTATCTTAACTCAGATGACATGTCTTCATGATACTTGTCTTAACTTAGATCTAATCCGTCCCTCCAGTATGCCTATCTTAACTCTGAAGACATGTCTTCATGATACTTGTCTTAACCTAGATTTAATCCGTCACTCCAGTATGCTTATCTTAACTCTGATGATATGTCTTCATGATACTTGTCTTAACCTAGATCTAATCCGTCCCTCCAGTATGCTTATCTTAACTCTGATGATATGTCTTCATGATACTTGTCTTAACTTAGATCTAATCCGTCCCTCCAGTATGCTTATCTTAACTCAGATGACATGTCTTCATGATACTTGTCTTAACCTAGATCTAATCCGTCCCTCCAGTATGCTAATCTTAATTCTGATGAGACATATCTTCATGATACTTGTCTTAACCCAGATCCAATTCTTTCCTCCAGTATGCTTATCTTAACTCTGATGACATGTCTTCATGATACTTGTCTTAACCTAGAGATCTAATCCGTCCCTCCAGTATGCTTATCTTAACTCTGATGACATGACATGTCTTCATGATACTTGTCTTTACCTAGATCCAATCCGTTCCTCCAGTATGCTTATCTTAACTCTGATGACATGACATGTCTTCATTATACTTGTCTTAACCTAGATCCAATCCGTTCCTCCAGTATGCTTATCTTAACTCTGATGATATGTCTTCATGATACTTGTCTTATCCCAGATCCATTCCGTTCCCCCGGAATACTTGTCTTAATAAAAATACATCCCTCTGCGATATTTCTCATAACCAATCCGTTCCTCTTGGAGGGATCCTTGTCTCAACCCTGATCCAATCCATCCCTCAGGGATCGTGTCTTAAACCTGATCTAATCCATCCCTCCGTGATACTTGTCTTAAATCTGATTCAATTCCATCGTCCTAAACCTGATCCAATCTGTTCCTCTGGGAGGGATCTTTGTCTCAACCCTGATCCAATCCATCCCTCTGGGTTCCATTGCCCTAACCCTGATCCAATCCGTCCCTTAAGTATGCTAATCTTAACTCTGATCTAATCATTCTCTTCTGGAACCTTGTTTAAATCCGTCCTCTCAGTATTCTGATTAACTTGATCCAATCCGTCCCTCCAGTATATTTTTCTAGACCATGATTAACTTAATCCCATCCATCCCGCCAGTATGCCTATCCTAACCCTAACCATGCCTGAAATAATCCGGGATCTCATTTTATCCCTGACTAACCTGATCCAATCCGTCCCTCCAGGATGCTTATCTTCAAATTTCTCCAAGTCATACAAAGAATCATCAATCCTGGGATGGGTCACATTCATATTGAGTTATTTCTTGTGATTTTAAATTTATATCTTAGAAAATGTTTTGTTAGTTTGTGATTAACTAAAATCTTGAGACTCCTTTCTTTCTTCTTTCTCCACCAAGGCAAAATGACTATTTATAACACTGTTATTTTAGTTCACAGTTTTATAAACTTTTTGGACAGAAATTTTCTCTAATAATTTTAAAAGGGGAGAACCTTCGAGATATAGAGAAAATTTAAGTCCAAAAACTTCATAGCACGTCGTGCCAAAATAATAGTATTATAGATAATGTTTTTAAACGGTTGCTTACTTGATTTATATCAATGACTATTTCTATAGATCAAATAAGCTATTGAAACAAAGCAGAAGTAAGAAAATTAAAGTTGATTTCAAATCTATTTTCATTTCAATTGAAAACAAAATATTTTGGAAATATCCTAAATTTTTGTAGAAAATTCGGGAACCAATTGCAAAACTTTATAGCACATGTGCTATAATGTCAGCTATTTTAACTTTATAGCACGAAGATTACTTTACACAGGGTGTCCCGCGAAACATAATAGTTGGTGAATGGTTTAAAATGTCTTCTTGTAATAATTTGTTAAGTTGTTTGATACGAAAGAGAATAATAAAAAATATTGTATGGGAGTCATCTTAAAGTAAAATTAATTTCAACGTAAAATATATTTGAATTAAAGATTTTTTAACAAAATGAACTATACAAAAAGTCTTTAATATCTAATATAGCATATTGAAGAAGACGTTCAAAGCTATTCACCAATTGTCATGGTTCGTGGGACACCCTGTAGCACGTTCATTATGAAATTCACGAAGAAGTGAGTAAGAATGAAAAAGTACACAATAGCACAATAGTTAAATAAAATATTTTTCAAGTTCGAAAGTAAGGACTTACTAACTATTAAACCATTAAATAAAAATAATATATATCATGGGACACCCTGTAGCACGTTCATTATGAAATTCACGAAGAAGTGAGTAAGAATGAAAAAGTACACAAGAGCACAATAGTTAAATAAAATATTTTTCAAGTTCGAAAGTAAAGACTTACAAACTATTAAACCATTAAATAAAAATAATATATATCGACATTATCTTATATCACAGTAAAGTGAAAGAAATGAAATAATTGCAATTAAACCGTATATTTATAAGTCTCACATTTAATAATTCGTCTATAAAGTCTTGTTAACCTACAGGGTGTCCCACGAAACATGACAGTTTGTGAATAGTTTTGAATGTCTTCTTCTTTTTACTGTATTTAATATTATAGACTTTTGCAGTTTATTTAGTTTAAAAAAACTTTTACTCAAATATATTTTACTTTGAAATCAATTTTACTGTAATATGGCTGCCATGAACATTTTTATATCATTCTCTTAGGGTTCAAACAACTTATCAAACTATGGAAGAAGACATTTTAAACTTTTCACCAACTGTCATATTTCGTGGGACACCCTGTACCTCCAGAGATCTCCGCAAATGTCGTCTTCCCTCTAAACATTTTAAGAATTAATAAAATTATTTGTTTAATAATAATATCGGTTTAGCCATAAAGTATGAGTCTTTATCTTTAAATACGATCATCTTTCAAGGTGTAATTTTGTCTTCTTGTATGATATAGATTTTGCAAAGAAGAAAATAAAAAAATATAAGTTTACAGTAATTAAAGGAATCCCAGAATGGAGGGAAAAAAGACTGAATATGTTCCTTCCAGTCGTCCCTCAACCCTGTGGGTAGCCGATATGGTTCTTCACAACCAAGAAAAAGTTCTTACAGGAATCGATATATCTTTGTTTTCATATAAAGTGTACTGCAGTTTCCGGATGGAATGTAAACAAACTCATAGATGGGTTAAAAAGGCTAAGTTTTGTTTTTAACCCTTCAAGAAATTGCAGTACGTTATTTAGTAAACAAAGATATTGGGATTCCTGGTACCTTTGATCTCAGCCATCCTAGAGATATTAAGATTCCTGGTACCTTTGATCTCAGCCATCCTAGAGATATTAAGATTCCTGGTACCTTTGCTCTCAGCCATCCTAGAGATATTAAGATTCCTGGTACCTTTGATCTCAGCCATCATAGAGATATTAAGATTCCTGGTACCTTTGATCTCAGCCATCCTAGAGATATTAAGAATCCTGGTACCTTTGATCTCAGCCATCCTAGAGAAGTCTTGATGGGAATATTTCTGTTTGAAGGATAAAAATTCATCCTTTATCTCCGAGCACTAGACTAGGACTGATAACAGCTGAGTGTAGAACAAGTATTGCGTATATACAGGGTTACCCACAAAGGATGAGATGTAAACAGTAGATTAAAGGACGACGTTTGATTTGTTTCCAAATAAAATTGCACTGTACTTTCCCAGATGAAAACGGAATTCAGGGGAAGCTCATTGAGGAAATTTGGTTTGTGATTCTAATGGTCATAATGCAAGGAAGGTTATTTCAGAGGTGTACGCTTTTTTGTACTGCAGTATACTGTCTTTTGGCGGTAGTGTAAACACAAGACGGATGTCGAAGCCTGACATGGGATCCATCTTAAATATAAAAAATCAATAAAATATTCTGATCATAGGAAACATTATGTGAATTATCAAAATTATCAAAATTCAATGCTTTTAACCTCCTCGGATACTAAACAAACTCTGATGCATCTATTCTTGCTTACAAATTCCGCTCAGAGAGAACTGGTTTCAATATGTACGCAGAGTACACGCAACTGCAATTAACTTTCCTTGCATTATAACCTTGATCTAAGCAAATATTTGGGGTTCCTGGTGGATCTTCCTTGGAATATGTAAACAGCTATTAGCTAAAGAAAATATTAGAGAGGAGGGGGGGAGGGGACACTGAAATTTCATTCTCCTCATGCGACCTAATGCAACCACGAAATGAGAAATTAATTTATAATCTTTAATAAATTAATTAAGATACATAAATAATATACCTGCCAAATTATCCCCGCATGGTTTCTGAATAGTTTGGTTAAACCTGTGAAAATTACAGTTCATATATTAGGGTTTCCTTTCTCATTTTTTGCCAATAAATCAAGGTTTAAATTAGATTTCTGGAAAATATTTTCTTTATATTAACCCTGTGGATATCCTAGTTCTATATAGATATCCAACCCTGTGAATATCCTAGTTCTACATATATATATATCCAACCCTGTGGATATCCCAGTTCTATATATATCGAACCTTGGGGATATCCTAGTTCTATATATATCCAACCCTGTGGCTATCTTAGTTCTACATATATCCAGCTCTGTAGATATCCTAGTTCTATGTATATCCAATATCCTAGTTCTACATATATATATCCAACCATGTGGATATCCTAGTTATATATATATCCTGCTCTGTGGATATCCTAGTTCTATATATATCTAACCCTGTGGATATCCTAGTTCTATGTATATCCAACCCTGTAAATATCCTAGTTCTATATATATCCAACCCTGTTGATATCCTAGTTCTATATATATATCCAACCCTGTGAATATTCTAGTTCTATGTATATCCAACCCTGTGTATATACTAGTTCTATATATATCCAACCTTGTGGATATCCAAGTTCTATATAAGTCCAACCCTTTTGATATCGTAGTTCTATGTATATCCAACCCTGTGAATATCCTAGTTCTATGTATATCCAACCCTGTGGATATCCTAGTTCTATGTATATCTAACCCTGTGGATATCCTAGTTCTATGTATATCTAACCCTGTGGATATCCTAGTTCTATGTATATCCAACCCTGTGAATATCCTATTTCTATAAATATCCAACCCTGTTAATATCCTAGTTATATATATATCCAACCTTGTGGATATCCTAGTTCTTTATATATCCAACCCTGTTGATATCCTAGTTCTATGTATATCCAACCCTTTGAATATCCCAGTTCTACATATCCAACCCTGTGGATATCCTAGTTCTATGTATATCCAACCCTGTGGATATCCTAGTTCTATATATATCCAACCTTGTGGATATCCTAGTTCTATGTATATCCAACCCTGTAGATATCCTAGTTCAATATATATCCAACCCTGTTCATATCCTAGTTCTATAAATTTCCAACCCTGTAAATATCCTAATTCTATATATATAACAAACCCTGTTGATATTCTAGTTCTATATATATCCAACCCTGTTAAAATCCTAGTTCTATATATATATAACAAACCCTGCAGATATCCTAGTTCTATATATATCCAGCTCTGTGAATATCCTAGTTCTATATATATCCAACCCTGTGGATATCCTAGTTCTATGTATATCCAACCCTGTGAATATCCTAGTTCTATAAATATCCAACCCTTTCAATATCCTAGTTCTAAATATAACCAACCCTGTGAGTATCCTAGTTCTATATATATCCAACCCTGTCAATATCCTAGTTCTATATATATCCAACCCTGTGGATATCCAAGTTCTAAATATAACCAACCCTGTGAGTATCCAAGAATGTAAGGCCTTACATTCATTGGTATCCTAGTTCTATATATATCCATCCCTGTCAATATCCTAGTTCTAAATATAACCAACCCTATGAGTATCCTAGTTCTATATATATCCAACCCTGTAAATATCCTAGTTCTATATATATCCAACCCTGTGGATATCCAAGTTCTAAATATAACCAACCCTGTGAGTATCCAAGAATGTAAGGCCTTACATTCATTGGTATCCTAGTTCTATATATATCCATCCCTGTCAATATCCTAGTTCTAAATATAACCAACCCTATGAGTATCCTAGTTCTATATATATCCAACCCTGTAAATATCCTAGTTCTATATATATCCAACCCTGTAAATATCCTAGTTCTATATATATCCAGCTCTGTGAATATCCTAGTTCTATATATATCCAACCCTGTGGATATATGTCAGAAATACTTAGAACGAAATCCATGTTTGCTAAAAATATTTGATTAAAAAATGATTTCCTGAAAGTTAACTGCAGTTAGAAATTAGAAACCTCTAGAATTATCTAGATGAGCACAATAAGGCTCAACAGTGATATATGAGTAAAAAAACTGAGAAAACTCAATTATTTGGTTTTTGAACAGAGGCTCATCATAATTTATCATTTTACTTGAAAATTAATTTTTATTGAGATACATTTAGAATGCTCTAATTTTCTAATTCACTTATAAAGTTGCAACCTGCAGTCGTAGTTCTTTTATACTCCTAAATATAAACACTGAAAGAATAAATATAGTGGAAAAGAAATTGAGTCTTTGCCATGAACTTTGCTTTTGTATTCCCTTTATCTTTGCCATATACCATTGATATTTCAAACTATGAATTCTGTTGGAACAAATAATCTTAGTTTGAAATATTAAAGGTTTACACCATCAGGCTGTAAGGATAAAGAGATTAGAAAATTGAAGTGCGAGGCAAAGACTCAATTCCTTTGAAATATTAAAGGTTTACACCATCAGGTTTCAAAGATCAGTAATCTGTTCCTTTATTTCCAAACTGAAAGGGGAAAAAAAGCAAAATTTGATATTTCGAGTCTGTTTTGGTTTTAAAAAAAAACTTGATTGTTGGTGTAAATGTCTTAGTTAAGTTGCCATAGAAATTATAATGATGAGAACCTCCCCCCCCCCGGGCGCACCGGGTCGGGCGTGTGAATATATATCCTCCTTGATAAATGAGCTGGTTGAATACAACAGCTATATCTCAGGTTCTAAATTCAGACCAGGAGGATTTATGAGAAACCAAGATAAATATGTTTCAGTAGTCTTGGAACAGGAGAATACACGAGAAACCAAAGATAGATAGGTTTCAGTCTTTTTCAGAGCATTCACCGTTCTCATTAACTGTATATTGTGAAAGGCCGGAAAGCTAAAAACACATACAATGTAGTTAACAGTATTCTATCTTTTTTTATATGATTGTACCTTAAAGATTCCACATATTTCAGATTTCTAAATTAGCGGATACATTCTTTCTATGTTAAAAATCAATAAATAAGATAAAAATTCAACTGCATTCCTAGAGGAATTGAGTCGCTGCCACAGAATCCGTATATCTTTGCAACCCAATGTCGTAGACCTTAGAATATTTCGAACTATGTTTTCTGTTAGATCACATAATCCTAGGTTTACACAATCAGGTGGCAAAAATATAGAGATTAGAAATTTTGAGTCTGTGGAAAAGACTCAGATTCTTTGAATAAGGACAACATTTTAAACATTTATGGCAGTAATTGTTAAAGGAATAAATTTCTTTATTGATTAATGTGAATTTAAACTCTAAAAAAGGAATAATAAATGAATAGTTAAAATGTAAAGATAATTAAGTTCACAAATGCCGCGTTGACCAAAGACGACTTCCAATTCTCAATTGACGGATACTGAAGCATATGGCGAATCTTCAGCTGAAGGCGAGTAAGTATTTAAATTGATCATTTATATTCTTAAAACAGGGAAATTTCATTAATGAGAAGTAACTCTAACTCCCTCCGGGGGATTTGATAATTAAAGGAAATTAATTACACTTCTTTTGTAATTAATCAAGGAAAATTTGAGTAATTTTCACTGAATATTGTTTAGAATAATTCTTAAAAACTTTCTATAGGCAAGAATTACATACACCATTTAAACCTTATCTGTTCACTAATGTGAATATACAGAACTCCAAATTCTTAACACGAATTAAACTTAGTTTTGTTTATAAAATTTTCAACCTTGATCGGATTTTGGTTATGCCTCTAAATCCCAAAACCAATTTGTCGCCATCATTTATTGCAACATTAAAGAAATAAACATGAAATATATATATATATATATATACATTTTTTAAACTTTAAAACTTTTAAACCCTAGAACATAAATTGTTATTCTAAAGTTGAAATGCCTAGTTTACTCTGTATATACTTCAACTGTCACTGGGTTGCATGTTCTCTGAAGTATTCAACCTTTACCCGGAGTAAACTCTGAGTTTTTATCCAACCAGGATTCAAATATTTCTAAACCTTCTCCACTGAATCTCTCCTGATACGCCAAGTGCCAGGTACTCTTTTTTTGCATTTTTTTTTGAGGAACTTATCCTACTCCAACATTTATCCTACTCCCATGCATTTATCCTACTCCAACATTTATCCTACCCCATACATTCATCCTACTTTTACATTCATTCTACTCCTGCATGCATCTGTACTCCTACATTTATCCTACTCCTTCATTTATTCTATCTACCACTACATTTATCCTGTTTTTCATCCTAAAC